CTCCTACTCCTACTACTACTACTCCTGCTGCTGCTGCTGCTGCTGCTACTACTACTACTACTGCTACTGCTAGTTTTAATTTTACCATTACTACTAGATAATTGCAATACTAATGCTAGCATAAACCCAAGCAATCAGCCTGGAACCACGTCAGGGGACAAATGATGCCATCAACAGCGACACAAGTACCAACAGTTGCGAAAGCAAGGGTGCTTGCGACAGCTAACGGCATCGTTACACTCTTGACCACAGCTAGAAGACTTAATTTCGTGGCCGACATTTAAAGAAATGGCTCTGCCCGGTGTGCTTTCGGAAGCATAGAAGAGCTCAGCCACGAACCGCGACTGAGCAAAGCCACGGCTCGCAGCTTCTTTCCTGTTGGCAGGCCCTGCGGAGCGTGGACTCGGAGCTTGCGCTTCGGCTGGACAGGCTGGCCGACGAGGCGGGGATGGGCCAACTACAGTACAAACGAGGTTCCTCGATACACCTCACCCTGGAGGTCCAGGAAGTCGTCGGTTCCAGTGAGGAGAAGTGTCAGGCAGCAGAGCCACCAACGTTGTGAAGGCTTCTTGTCTCGTTGCGCGGCACAGGCCCTGGAGCGATGCTTGCAGGCACAAGCCACTTCGGCAGAGCAGAAGGCGGGAGCTGAACATCAAGACATCGACATCTCGCACTTTCACGTTGCATTCAGGATGTTGCGACGACAGAGCTCATCACGACATTGGAGGACCCTGTCTCGGCAGCCTTGCGACGGCCTGCTGTGGGTTGTGTTTGCTGTCGGGGAAGGAGCGACTGGAAACTCTTGAGATGGATTTGGAGACGGAGACCCGGCGAGCTAAGGAGAAGGTGCCTTTGTATCTAGTCATGCGTCAGTGTCAGGGGGTCATGACATCCCGGCAGGTAGAGGAGTCCATCCACGATTTCAGTGACAAGATCTGCGCCTTCGAGGAGGTCCTTTCCCCGGCAGTCACGGATGCTGATGGTGTGCCTTTGCAGAACAAGGCGATCAAAGACAAAGAGCAAGCAGTGCATTTTGGCGCACGGCGGTACTCCCAGCAGTGCACGAATCTTTCGTTCGCGTCTTCACCAACGGCCGCAAGTCTCTGGTCTAGCAGCACCAGGTGCTTATCTTGTAATCGCACCTTCGACGACGTGGTCAAAACACCAGGACTGCTGTATCTTGCAATGTGCAGCCTGGTTCTTCTTTGCCGAACCTCCAGGAAGTGTGAATCTTCCTGCAGAGAAGCGTCGGGCACAGGCCGTGGCGTATCGTGTGGGTAGGATATATGGAGCCCTCATGTCTAAGTCACAAGCGCTGGCAGTTCGGTCCGTCTTAGTGTCTTAGTGTCTACGGACGTGGTGAGAAACTCCACAGCGATCTTGGCAGACATGTTGAAACAGCAGTCTGCAAGAAAGGGCAGTGCTCTTGTATGCATCTCCGCTGTCGAGAGGCACTTGGGCATGAGTGAATAGAGAGGTTTTCGCGGAGATTCAGAGGGCTCTGCACACTCCCAGGCCAGACTCTCGGAAAGTCCTGGGGTTTAGCCGCGTGAGCCGCGTGAACTTGCCGAAGCGTCCATGTCGGACCACAGACTGACCGAAGCACGGACGGCTGTACTGTTTTGCGTTTTTTCGCAACGTTTGGAGTTATGGCAAGAATCATTCGCTGAGATTGACGACCCGCCCAGGACTGACCCGGAGACCATCAAACTGTTGGCTGTCAAGGCTGCATGAGCACCTCAAGTTCATGGTTTAAGAGCAAGGTATGCAGTTTGCTGTTGTGCATTCGTAGCGGCAGTGCTAGTGCGACCACGTCGCTCATTGACCACGTAACTCCACGGTACCGATGAAGGACGCAGTTGGTGGTACGAGCTCTGAGTACTGTCTCCATTCATTCCTTGGAAATCCATGGTCTTTCTGACACTGGCTGCAGCTTCGATAAGATCACCCTCAATATCGCGTAGTGGGTCCACTTTGGGGATCCTTGAGGTACTCCAACTCTGGAGCCTCTTATCACTTCGCATGACAGGTGAGAAGACCGACTGCGGTTACTGCGAAGCAAGGTTCTGCCTCGCTCGCCTGGTTTGTGATTGCGAGACTTGCAAGAAATGTCACGCGTACAAGCGTCTGAAGCCGCCTTTGTCTCATCTTGTGCCCACATCTTCACGACTTCTCTCGTTACTGTCTTTTCCGAATGCCAGTACGCCAGCCGCAATGGAGACTGTTTAGCCAACGGCCTTGAGGCAGCAACGTGCTGCAGTTCGCTGTCGCAGCATCTGGAACGCCTTCTGTCGATGTGTCAAGTGAGGATGTGCAGCTCCTCCCTGTCCGTACCACCTCCTTGAGCCGATCGGTGCCGCCGAGCCGGTCGCAGTGCTCTCCGAGACCGCCCGGGAACCTGGCAAAGCTTTGCGCGACCTGCCGCGAGGCTGCCAGAAATAGAGCTGAGGCCCTCCAAAACTTCCACGTCGAATGTTCGTCCACAGAGCTGGCACCTGAGAGAGGAAGCTTGCGAAGTCAGTGCGTGTGCAGCGCCAAGAGATAGCAACAGTCTAGCGTGAAAGCTACGATTTGGTCACGCAGTTCAGCGCTCTGGCGATTCGTCCCCAAGCAGGTGAGACCTCGAGCTGCTGGACACATCGTCGCGGTGAAGCACCCGCTGCTTGGCGTCTTGGCAGCACTTAGCCGGAGTCGAAGAATTATGATCTTTATGGCTGAGGGAGCTGGGGGGTCCAACGCCGATACCTCACCCACCCAAAGCTGCAAAACACGGGCCCCGCAGCCCCAGACTCACTGAACTTCTCAGCCCGCATGGAGATCGTCAGCTGCTGCTTTGCTCCCCTGCCCGTCGCGAAGCATCTTGAAGTTACGGCTAATTACTAATGTTTCGTTTGAAGGCGAACCTAGCAGGGGCTCTATCTCTATCATCTTGATTTCGGGGTCTGGGAGGAGGGCAGGATGCAAAGTACCAATCGAATTGTTGCATTGCGAGACGTTACGCATTCATTTTGCGTCTAATCATCTGCACACGTGTTTGTCTACATCCACGCACGCGTACACACTCGTAATCTGTATATATATATATATATATATTATATATATATATACATACATATACATCTATCTATCTATCTATCTATCTATCTATCTATCTATCTATATATATATATATATGTATGCATGTATGCATGTATGCATGTATGTACGTACGTACGTGTGT